TAAAAACATAAATAAATTTGGTTTCGTAGCCTCCCTAACCTAAGCAATTAAGCAGTAAGGGTGTTTTAACAACTAATACCCTAAAATTAACTAACTTGAGAGTATTGGTCCAGCGCTTGTTATATAGGTTGAGAAGAAAACCTTAATAGAATTAAACATTGCACTATCTGCAAACCGATTTATTAAGCTCGAAGTGATGTCTCAGCACTTAATGCTCGAAAATCAACTAGTCTGGAAGTCATTAGCTGAAAGCTCGTTCATGGGTTAAAGATGCATTGTGTTGTGTGTGTGTGTGTGTGTGTGTGTATTAAAAAAGAAAAAGAAAAAAAAGGATAATAATCTCAACCCAAGGAAGTTAACCTTAAACATTATAATAAAATTATGTTTTCGTTAAAGTAAAGCCTCATAACTATGTGTTGATATATTGAGAAAAAAAAAAGTTTATTAATATCTTGGTAAAGAGGTATTGCATATATATAAATTTAATGAGAGTTTTTTATCTGAATAGATTAATGGAAGTTGAATGATGAATGCATTGCTTTGTGAAACTTGCAAATTGGTTTTTCTATTTTAATGCTTTGATTACTAGGGACTAGTAATAAGCTGGTTGGGAGTGTGATTTGTACTTAAAAGAGTATTTTTATTAAGATTTTATATCATCATTTTGCACTTAAAGTATCAATAACTCTTTAACGAAAGCAAGTTTTATAATAACAAGTCTGATACTATAAGATAGCTTTAATTTATGGTATTTGTTCATCTTAAATATAGGCCTAGCACACAAATCAAAAGATTGATTGATGAGTTCAACTACTGAAATTGAGAAGATAAAGAGAGGGTGAAGCTTAGAAATAAGAGTTGGTTCAGTCCAAACTGAAACATTGTTCAATCATTAGGTCATATGTGGAGTTGTAGATCTTGAATTTCAATTTGGTTTATATGGCTAAAAAGATCAGACATAGACCTAAAACATTCATGGAATGCAAGACTTAATTCTATTGTTTAGAAGTTTAAATCTTAGCAATAAGGGAGAAGCCCGAATTTGGCCTACAACACAGACATTATTCAGTGTTTATCCCATATCTTGAGTTCTAGAAGTTCAAATGACTTTAATTTTATTTTTTTTGAAAAGCCGAGATAATTTTCTAGAACTTTCATGAATTAAGTTTGTTCAAATTATAATGTTAGTAATGATGTTTTGTTTAGACAAGAAGATAAGGATTGTCACCAAGTCAAGATGTGGTCACCCATTCAATAATTAGTCAACAAATCAATAACTAAGTTTTGAATATGTAAGTTTTGCTTTTATTAATCTCTTGTTTATACTTTTCATTTCCTTTCTTTTACTTAGTTAACTTATATCTTATTTATGCTCTTATTTTGTTTATTTATATTTCTCTTCTTTCATTATATTTAGTTAAATTTATTATGTCAAGGTAAAATGATTATATTAATGGTGTAAGAATAAGTATAGTGTAAACTCAACAATGTTTGATCCTAACATGTTTTGTATTTGTTACCTTATTCATTTTTAATACTTTGCTTGTTAAATGGTTAATCTAGATTTATATTGTACAACACTTGGTACAACAAATACTTGGCACTTTTATAGCCCAACTGTATGATATAACCTACACATGTACTATGAAAGAAACTTGATTTGTTGTCAACATAAGTTACAATCATGAATATCTGACAACATTTACAAGTATTAACATTATTTGAATAAAATAACTAATATAATCATGTTAACCATTTATAATTCGATTGGAACCTTCTTTCTGTATGGTTTCTAGTTCAGCAATAAATTTATAGTATATTTGTTTGAAATATCATTAATGGATCCTCTAACCCTGACATTTGTTTTTATTGTTTAATCTACACATTAATCTTACATCTTAACTTCTTCTTCGTCTTCTTCTTCTTATTATTATTATTATTATTATTATTATTATATAGTTAACCTCCCTTTGGTTCGACCCCGATCTTGCCGAATTATTTATTACTTTGGCACTTCTACACTTCAGAGAAAACATCAATCTTTTAGTCGTATCACATATGCCTGAATAATTTAAAAAATAACAAGAATATACAAATCCCAATTAAAAAAATCCAAGCAAAATTGATGAAGTTATAAAAATCCATAAAGAAATAGATTTTTTCATGGATGAGTTATGGGCCTGATTTATAGTTGTTAAAAAACTTCACTTAGAAATTAATTTTTTCTAGATGAGTTTTGAGCTTGAGTTGTACCCATAAAATAAGTCCCTTGTGGAATGAAAGAGACTTTAATACTTAAGTCAGTTTTTAAATTTGGTTGCTCAAGTGACAAAGTACATGAAAATAATTAAAAACATGAAAATGATGTTTTATAAATAAGAGATTTGTGTGCTAAATAGATTTATTTATGTTCTAATGGAGAGATGGTTTTAAGAGTTGTTGAGATAATTTATCATCCTTCTCTTTTGTTAAACCTAAGAATATAGCCTATATTGAAAAATATTTAAAAAAAAATCTTAAAAACTCATCATGAAAGGTGGCATTTTTAGTGTGGTAATTCTAGCTAAAGTTGTAGTTGAAGTCATAACTTGTACAACTTGACATAATAGTAACTTAAATAATAAGAGAATAGAGAGAAAGGGAGGAAACAGGAAAAAAGGTAAGGCTTGATTTAGTACTATTCATGGATAAGGCTGAAATAATACTATTCATGGATGAGCTTATCGATAAATCTAAAATAATATTATTATTCATGGATAAGCTTGAGAATTAAATATTATTATTTACTAAAATAGTAATTAGATGAGCCTCGATATAGTACCAGTTATGGTTGAGACTGAAATAATATTATTCATTGATGAGTTTGAAACAATACCATTCATGGATGACCTTCATGAATGAACTTGAAATAGTACTATTTATAGATAAGTCTGAAATAATATTATCTATAGATAAGCTTCGCAAATAAGACCGAAATAGTACTATTTAAGAATGAGAATAAAATAATGTTGTTTATGAAAAGAATGGAAAAGTACTATTTATTGAAATAGTAAATAGATGAGCCTCTATAGATTGTTGGGAATTGGTCTAAAATAGCTCAGCTAGGCAAGGAGATTCATCCTAACTAAGCTACATTTTTTTTAAGGTGATTCATCCTACCTAAGTTATATATATATTTTTTTTGTATTATCATAAAATAATCGAGTTTATCTTATTTACTAGTAAGACTTGGATCCATCTTATTTTTTTACCCACCTTGTACACAATTTTCAAACTTATTATTATTAAACCCTATAATAAAAATCTTGAATATCCCTAATAGTTATAGAAATAGGTTTTACTGAATATGAATTTTTAGAAATAAGTTTTACTGTTTTAAATATAGATTCCTAATAGTTATAGAAATAGGTTTTACTGAATATAAATTTTTAGAAATAAGTTTTACTGTTTTAAATATAGATTTTGATGAAACATTATGTAAGATTTCAGTAACAAGAAAAGACATGCACACTTAACCATGAAATCATATAAAAACTCAATTACAATCATCCATTTTTTATTTTAATTTAGGTTTGAAAGGAAAAAAAGATTGATTTTTTAATGAGAAGAATTATAATCCGATCACTGAAATAATATTTGATTTGTCACTTGGATCAATTTTCAATGTGCACACGAGTATTTTAGTTTTATATACACAGGGAGTATTTTGGTTATTTTGGTTTTTTTCTTTGTTGGATTTAAAATTTTCAATTAACCGGATATAAATTATAATTTTTCAAAACATGATAGAAAAATATAATTTGAACTAGGGATGATTTTATCTAATTTATTATTTTATATTAAATTTAAATTTATATTAAATAAAAAAATTAAAAGCACAAAAAACCTAGAACAAAATATAATCAAACAGCTTGTTATTTAAATACTCTACTTTTGCCATGCCAGAATTGGTTGGAAAATCAATCTGGAATTTTATAAACTCAAAAAATTATTTTTTATTTTTTAATTTATTTTCATCGAATAAACACCATAACAGTTACATAAAACCAAAAAAATAAAATAAAGTCTCAATTTTTATTTTTATTTTTGCCAACCCATGGATAAAACTCAAGCAAGAATGATTGGTATCGTTGACAAAATTTATCCACCCATCAACTTTTTCTCTTCTAGATAAACAAAAAAAAAATAGATCAAAACAAAAAAAAATTGCGAAAACCAAAGAGACTAAAATAGAAATCTAAACTCTAAAAGCAAAAACTGTACAATTAAACAAGAAATAAGCAATTTTAACCATACAAAAAATCCCTTTATTTTAACTATAATATCAAATTGAATCTCAACATTTTTAATTTTTTTTCAAACAATAGAACCAATTATATATATATATATATATATTAATGTTGAGATGAGCCTTGTTGCAAACGAAATCAGAACAATTTCTCAGACCCAAATCCAAAAAAAGAAGTGATTACTGAAATTAGGAAAAAAAAAAACAAGGATTCAAGGTGAAAAAACACAAAAACAGCGTTTTGCGTCCCCCAGTGAATAGTCCCCTTTCTCTTTAATGTAATTTAATTAACAATATAAGCAAACAAGAATAATTTTGACATGAACTTTGACAAGAAATTGTTTTACTTTGATGGCTGTGCTATTTACCAAAAACATGCCCATCATTTCCACAAATTTCGTAAGCAATCCTATTCCTTAAAAAGATTGCAGACAATTACAAGCAATGCTCCTCCTAATGCACTTTTTAACTCATTGCCATATCACAACAACCATAACAGAGCACAAAAATACCAAATTGTCCTGAGATTTATTTGATGACTGCAAATCATGAAGCTTCACAATTCACATCCACTCCCACAATTGTTTGTTTCATCATAAATGGAAAGTAAAATCTCCGGGTTCAAACAGATGGCATAATATTAACGAGGGGTAGAGCAGAATTTAAAATGAAAAATGGAGAAAAAAGAAATCAAGGAACTATTCTCTTAATAAAAAAAAAAGGAGAACCATTCCATCCCAATTGCTTGATGAACGATTACCATGTACAGTAAAAATTGATCCAAGAACAAGCACTAGGCCCTTAAAATCTGGTGCAGAATAGGAGTCAACCGCAATAACAGATCAAAAAGTCACAGGAAGCCATCAATAAGGAATCAATTACCATCACTTTAAGCAGAAATAAGAAGAGCTGAAACTAAACCAGGCAGCCAATGAAATAGGAGTAGAAAATATCCACGTATTAAAACCATACTGAAAATATAATTAATAGGAGAAACCTCAAATAAGAAATCCTCCAAGTATGCATCAGTTTCGTTTCATTTACATTAGTCTTTCCATAGAAGAAGCCAGATAATGGGTCCGACTCTGCCTCGATTTTTATATTCTATCCATGTTGCCCCCCATTCAATCAAGGGATGCATGCCCCCCTCCGGTTTGGTGCAGCATCGCATCAATTTCATCGCCATCTTCCATGTCAAGCTGGTACCAAGCGGAAACAAAACATAAACCAGATGAATAAAAACTATTACAGAACCAAACATCCACGAGTAAGCTTCTACGGTGGTCTGAGAATATGCTTTATAACCACCACTATGTACAATCACATCTAATAGTAGTTTGTCTGGTGTTCGCAAGAGCAGAAAAAGGATGGATGCGCTCAGCGCACAAAACAAAGATCGATACAGATCATAAAAGGGAAACTAAACTCCAAACCAAACAAACACTAAAATAAGAACTTTACCTCATCTGGAGTCTGTTCTCCACGGAGTCTGCGCCCATCAAATAAAAATGCAATCGAGTTAAACTCAACTGACTGTCTATCACAGTATGCAGTCATTAGTTTCCGCAGCTGGGTGCTTCGCTTGATCCTGAAGAACACCTCATTGCCATCCTACACTTGAAGAAAACGAAAAAGTATAGTCCATGCTAGAACAGGAGAAGTAACTACTAAGGTGCAGCGAAAACATAAAAACAGTGAGATTACGGTATTACGATACAAAATAATTAAAAGCAAATTTCGGGAAATACACATTCAGCAGTAGTAAATACAAAAAATCGAAACTCCAAGCTAAATCCAACCTCCTCATAACATAACCCATTTCAGCAACCACCCAGGAGATTGATCTCTTAAAACCCTTCCAAACACACAAGCATTTGAGCAGCAGCACATCACTAATCAACCGTAAGATTTGATAACCTACTCTCTCTTTTTTTATATTAATCAACTCTTTACCGATCAATCTACAAAAGGATTTATACCATTACATATTCACATAGCAGTAGAGATTAGGAGATTTGCTCTCCATCAATCAAAGCAAAACTAATTTCATCATTGAAACCCTAACAGCACCACAGGACTTGAGAAAAAAGAAAATAAAAGAATTACCTGGCCTTTGACTTTGAGGTTAATGTGAGCGGACTGATCTCCTCCGGGCTTTTTGTCTTCCTCCTGGCCAGCACCACCACCACCACCGGCGGATGCAGACATTTCTTTTTATGTTCCTAGGGTTTTTGTTATATCACGGGCTTTTTTCTATCTCGCTCTGCCACTACCAATAAGCGCTGGAGGACAAAACGCTCCCCGCTGCGTTTCCTCTACGCTACTTTTTATGTATCATAATCAAAACACCCACTACACTCGCGGAGGGTCGCGTCCGTCGTGTTATTGCGCGCGCGCGCGCGCTCTCTCTCTCTCATATATATATATTATTAAATCTCATTTTTCTTTGTGTTGTATGCGAGCTTTTATATATATATATATA